GTACTGGTAGGCCTCTTCATCGCCATGGCCAGCATCTACAGGTACAAATATCATATTACATTACAAGTTGACCTGAAGAACCCGTTCACCGTCCCTCAACTATCCAACAGGTCGTCCTCCCCCCCCCTGGTCCTGTGAGCGGTCTAGGCAGTGCCGACCAAGGGATCGAGCAAAATGTACGGAGTACGAGCACTTTATTTTTGTAGACGCACATCACCGACTTCTGAATTCAGCCCCCTTTCCCCCCCTTTTCCTCTTGTGGCTGGGCTGGCCAGCATGATCAACTAAAAGCAAAACACATGAGACGTAGCTCAGCTTGTCTCTTTTCTCTTCCCCTCTCTCACTCTTTAGGATTCTGCTTTGGTAGAAGATTTCAAACTACGGAGAAGTACAGATGTGTAAGGTGTTGCATATGTGTGCGCTGTTTTGAGAGAAGAATATCAGACATAAAAAAAAAGCATACATGCGGATGCCATGTACTATTACAGCAGAAAACCACCAAAGCATTCCACCGTCTACAGACTATGGCCCGCCATCATGTCTTGGAAGAACTGCACTCATAATTGCGGCAGAGCAGATGCGGATGCGACTGGAATCCGTACGCGCTCTACTATACCCTCAAACTCGAAACCCGTTGTCCCGACCCCAAGATTCCTTTCCATCAATCATCGCCACCACCTCCTCCAAGATGCACATTTCCAATAGACCCATTGGCATTTGCATCTAATCAGCCCAGCGCATGGCCTCATCTGACCAAAGCTAGTGGGTAATACCGACCGTAGCGCCTCAGCATCGTCTATTGTATTCCTGCCCATGCCTACTAGTGTTAACTGTTGCTGTTTCAATAATACTACCAAGGCTCGTTTGTTGGATCTCGTGCCAACCCAATCTTGATACGGGAACGACTACTAATACTGCTAGTACGTATTATACTAGCTATATTTATTACTCCGCATACTGCATCCATCCATCTTGTATATCCAGCTTCCCCTCTCTCTCTCTCTTTATCTTCCCCTCCTCTTGCCGCCCCACCTCGACATTGCCATGAGTACAGCGCAACATGTACGTTTCCAGCTTCGCCTCGATCTTTCCAATCTTTGAACGATGCCATAACTAGTCCTTCAACAGAAGAAATCAATCTATATAATGATAATAAAATCTCCTCCAAACAAATTTTCAGCTCTGTCGTCACACGATCTACCAACCCCAACCCCAAACCCTCCCCCCCCCAAAACACCCCGAACCTCCCAAACCCCCACCTCCCAACTGATAAAACATGTTTGCGAAAGACAGGCTATTACCGGAAACAACAGTTACTACCAATACCACCGCTACTACCACGGCTGCTATCACGTACTTTTCACCGCCCATTCCGATCCGGCTTGTCGCTCTTTCTGCATGAACCCTCCTCTCCTGGCCAGCTCTGTACCGTTTTCCCCGGGGATCCGATGATGCCCTTCACTCCATTCTCCATCTTCCTTAAAGAAGGCCTCCACCCTTCGATCGATCCCGTCTTTTTTTGCGCTAGATAATCACTGGTCGATCCCGCTCTCTCCATCGGCCCTCCTACGGCTCTACCGGTGGACCCGCCTGTTGCCGCATATCTATCTCTGCCTCTATCATACCTCCCCCTCTCTGTCTTTCTCCGAAAATTTTCCGTCCCGAATTCCCTTCCTCTCTCTCTTCTTATTTTGCTCTCCTCTTGAATATCTAGTACCATACACCCTCACACTCTTCTCCCTCCAACTCTGCAGCACCATCCATAGGGTTCTTTCTCTCTCTTCCCCTCTGCTCCCCCGTATGTATTCCGACCTTGTCAAGCTCGCGCACACACATGACGTTTCATCGTGGCCAAGTGGCATCCTTGCACACGCATATACACGACGCACCAGAGATTTATGTGAAGCCTAGGTCGCCGAGCACGCAATGCGTCGCAGAATTTTGCTGCCTCTGCTTTCACTAGCATACTGGCTTCGCCCATGTATTACGTGTCGCGTACTGTGCTCTGTAGATAGAGCACACACACAGCCCGCATGTATGTACTCGCCACCTGAAGCACTGCCGCTCTCCCGGGGAACATACACACTTTTCTCTCCCTCCATCAACGCTGCCTAGGATCGTTTGGTCGTCGGTTGCTGTGTCACATAGCAAGCAAGGCGCAATAGATGCTCAGCATGGGGTGGCGTATCGGGGCGATGCTCACTAGTCTCGTGATAATATTGCGGGGGCTTTTCTCCCATGGCAAGGAAGCATGATATCATCTGTCGTATAGATGTGCTAAACCGCAGATCAGCTACATGACAATGGCACGATTGTTGAAGAGATGGGGAGGCGAAGAGCCTTTTCCCAAAGGCTAGATTGAAATACTACTAGTCGGTGCATCTATCTTGTTTCTTCTCCAGGACTTCCAAGAACAAATGCCCCGGCGAAGACTCCATGTGTGATATATCTTCTGTACTCGTGTGCGCAGATATAGTCGAGAATACCTACTGTAATGGCCGGTGAGCGGCATATTCAACCCGGACCTATTATTCCTGAAGACCATGTCAGTAGACAG